TTTCGTCCTGGGGCATATTACAAATATCTTCGGTCCTGGAGATAATGGACTTTCGTCTGATTACTCCGTTGGTGATCACTCTGTATCTTGTTCTTTTTGCTACGATCTATAGCATTAAATGTAGAGGGATGAGGTTTAAGATTACCTCCATTGAGATCGTAGGATAGGCTTTCATTGTACCAGTGATGCAAACACAGGCTAGTCTTTGTACTTTTGAGATAATTGCTCTCGTAGTAGCTAAACTAGTTCTGTTGCTACAAGGCTACAGCCCCGATAATTGGTCTCACTATTGCTGTATTAATTATCAGTCCAAAATGTGCTGACAAATTAATAGGCGCATAACAGCCAAATATTACATACACATCTTAAGGTCCTTTTCACATTGGCCAATATATGTGCCAAAATAGTTGTGGTCAATACGTATAGCCAACATGTAGTAGGAGATTTATGGTCACCTTGGTAGGTATTGCAGTGTTGGCCAACACGTTGGTGCGAGATGCGTGTGGTGCCGGTCTTTCGACACAGGGTGTTGGTGAAAGCACGGCCGCCGCGTCAACATGTTGGCCAATATGTGTGCTACACCATTGACACATATATCGAACAAAGTGATGTTACTATCAGTAAGAGAAGTTTTTCCCTGATAAAACAATTTAGGTGTTAATAGTTTTATTCAGATGAAATCCATAATAAATATTTTTGCCTACAGGAAAATAATGAATATTCCTCAAAAAACACTTGAAACAGTTTTTATGAAATCTTTTTTATTTATGTTCATGTTTTAGTAAATACATTTTTTTGTGAAAGCCACACTATAAATAATTATAAAAATACTAATTTCGCCAAACTCAGGAGAGTAATCGAGTCTTGACAGAAGTACCTTTTTTGTAATAAATGAGTTACGAAATTCAAATTTTATATTCAAACCCCTTTTCTTCCATTGGCGTTGAAATTTTAAATGTGTAATTATTAAAAAAATCAAGATTTCTACGCCTATAGATTAATAAATTTTTTGTGAAGAAATAATTTAGAAATTGTAAATTTAGGGCTAGCTAGTGCCTAAACTGAGCAACTTTGTACAAAAGAAAAGTTTATTTAAATGGTTTATTTTGGTCTAAGGAATATATGGTATGTTTTTGCATTTTACAAACACCCTATATATGAGATTCATTAATGAGAATATCTAAGGAAAAATGGAAAGCGACGTGGCAACGTTACTGCTTTTAATGGTTTGTTTGCGAACAGGAAGAACTTTGACCAGCGGCATAAATTCATAACTAATAAATTATTTTAAATACTGATTCTAAATAATGTGTCTAAATATTTTTCTTACTAATTATTATAAATAATGATTCTAAATAATGATTCTAAATAATTATTCTAAATAATGATTCTAAATAATGATTCTAAATAATGATTCTAAATAATGATTCTAAATAATGATTCTAAATAATGATTCTAAATAATGATTCTAAATAATGATTCTAAATAATGATTCTAAATAATGATTCTAAATAATGATTCTAAATAATGATTCTAAATAATGATTCTAAATAATGATTCTAAATAATGATTCTAAATAATGATTCTAAATAATGATTCTAAATAATGATTCTAAATAATGATTCTAAATAATGATTCTAAATAATGATTCTAAATAATGATTCTAAATAATGATTCCAAATAATGATTCTAATTAATGATTCTAAATAATGATTCTAAATAATGATTCTAAATAATGATTCTAAATAATGATTCTAAATAATGATTCTAAATAATGATTCTAAATAATGATTCTAAATAATGATTCTAAATATTGATTCTAAATAATGATTCTAAATAATGATTCTAAATATTGATTCTTAATAATGATTCTAAATAATGATTCTAAATAATGATTTTAAATAATGATTCTAAATAATGATTCTAAATAATGATTCTAAATAATGATTCTAAATAATGATTCTAAATAATGATTCTAAATAATGATTCTAAATAATGATTCTAAATAATGATTCTAAATAATGATTCTAAATAATGATTCTAAATAATGATTCTAAATAATGATTCTAAATAATGATTCTAAATAATGATTCTAAATAATGATTCTAAATAATGATTCTAAATAATGATTCTAAATAATGATTCTAAATAATGATTCTAAATAATGATTCTAAATAATGATTCTAAATAATGATTCTAAATAATGATTCTAAATAATGATTCTAAATAATGATTCTAAATAATGATTCTAAATAATGATTCCAAATAATGATTCTAATTAATGATTCTAAATAATGATTCTAAATAATGATTCTAAATAATGATTCTAAATAATGATTCTAAATAATGATTCTAAATAATGATTCTAAATAATGATTCTAAATAATGATTCTAAATAATGATTTTAAATAATTATTTTAAATAATGATTCTAAATAATGATTCTAAATATTGATTCTTAATAATGATTCTAAATAATGATTCTAAATAATGATTTTAAATAATGATTCTAAATAATGATTCTAAATAATGATTCTAAATAATGATTCTAAATAATGATTCTAAATAATGATTCTAAATAATGATTCTAAATAATGATTCTAAATAATGATTCTAAATAATGATTCTAAATAATGATTCTAAATAATGATTCTAAATAATGATTCTAAATAATGATTCTAAATAATGATTCTAAATAATGATTCTAAATAATGATTCTAAATAATGATTCTAAATAATGATTCTAAATAATGATTCTAAATAATGATTCTAAATAATGATTCTAAATAATGATTCTAAATAATGATTCTAAATAATGATTCTAAATAATGATTCTAAATAATGATTCTAAATAATGATTCTAAATAATGATTCTAAATAATGATTCTAAATAATGATTCTAAATAATGATTCTAAATAATGATTCTAAATAATGATTCTAAATAATGATTCTAAATAATGATTCTAAATAATGATTCTAAATAATGATTCTAAATAATGATTCTAAATAATGATTCTAAATAATGATTCTAAATAATGATTCTAAATAATGATTCTAAATAATGATTCTAAATAATGATTCTAAATAATGATTCTAAATAATGATTCTAAATAATGATTCTAAATAATGATTCTAAATAATGATTCTAAATAATGATTCTAAATAATGATTCTAAATAATGATTCTAAAAATGATTCTAAATAATGATTCTAAATAATGATTCTAAATAATGAGTCTAAATAATGATTTTAAATAATGATTCTAAATAATGATTCTGAATAATGATTCTAAATAATGATTCTAAATAATGATTCTAAATAATAATTCTAAATAATGATTCTAAATAATGATTCTAAATAATGATTATAAATAATGATTTTAAATAATGATTCTAAATAATGATTCTAAATAATGATTCTAAATAATGATTTTAAAAAATGAGTCTAAATAACGATTATAAATAATCTATAGGTAATCAAAAATGAAATCAACGTTTTAATATATCACATACTGGTATAAATTAAATGGTTCTATATTATTAACAAAAACTAAATATCCTCTTAATCCAGATCCTCAAACTATCATTCTTCTTCTTCTTTTTTCTCAGAGTCCAAGACATTACGTCGTGACAGAAGCTCCTGAGCGCAACTACAAATCCGCTGAACAAGTCTATTCTTACTCGTATAACTCTAGCGCAGATTCCGCTTCTAACAGATACGCTGCTCCTTCAGCTCGATCATACGCTTCCTCGGAAAGCGTCACCAGGTCCTCAACCGGAGGACCTGGCGGCTATAGCTACAGCTCCGAACGTAGCTCTCGCTCCAGAGGCGACGGTCCAGGAGGTTACAGCTCCAGCTATAGCTCCACCACCTCTGGCAGATTACCTGGTGGTACTTCATACCGCCATTACTCTTACCGCGTTTAATATTTATCGATTTTTATTTAATTGTAACTCTACTAGCTTCTTGGGAGGTTATTTGGTAGTTTTAGATATGGCCACAAGATCTACCAGTTGGTATTTGCGCTTATGTTAATGTAGGTGTAGATGTAATGCTAGAAGTTTCTTGGTGGGTTTTTAATAGATTTTAGTTGGTTTCGTGTCAAAATAAATTAATCACCATATTGCTTCTATAGATAAACGGAAGAGCTGTAGGTAGGTTACTAGAATATGTCAGGTGTAAAACATAATAATAATAATCAAATTATAAATGTAGATACTAGCTACTAGTAATTTTTAAATTTAATTTGTTGATATTGGAACTCTTTTTTTTTATTTACACCTGTCAATTTCACTAATATTACTAGATGTAGTAGAATACTATAGTTTAGCCAAATTAAAATAAAAATAAAACTAAAACGATCTCAAGATATTTTTTTGGAATTTGAATTTTATGCAACACTTACTTTTTTAAAAAAACTGGTAAATAAATTTAGTTTGGCTGAACGGACTTTGCAATATTTAATATTTGGTTTTAAAATGTGTACCTAATACTTTTTTTTCCTAATGTATATGGAGTGGTAAAAAACATTCGAAGCATTTTAGATTAGGCCGCTAAAATAAAAATTTAAAATTGAAAAAATAAAAAATTGTCATACCTAGATGTACCTATATTTTTTTATTTATTATACGAGTATTTACCCTTTTGAGAAATATATATTTATTGTGATCTATTTATTGTAATATAATTCTTAAAAATTCTTATTTGTTTTATTTATTAATTTTTCAGATATTCCTTTACCTACTGATACCTCCCACCTTTTTCCCATCTACTAACATTGTATGTGTTTATTTTTTTTTTGAAATATTTCTTTGAATAGGAAATTTTTTGCCTTCCGATACCCTATAATAAGCGAAATTATTAGGGTGGAAATGGGTTCAATTATTTTTTAATTGAAATTGTGAAATTAATATTGGCTGATTTTGGTTTGTATTTTTACCTTTTTTTTGTATAGTACTAACTATCCAAATAGAATTTTATCCTTTATTTTCCTTTCCCCAGGGCACGCCATCGCGACAAGTGCGAGTCTTACCGGGATTAGGCAAGGTAAGTCTTATCATAGTTACCATAAAAATTACTAATTTTAGGCATTTCTTTATAAGCTTACCATAACGTAGTAGAACATACATTATATTACTAGAGCTTCCAACCACTGTGATTAAGTGGTAAAAGTTGCAAAAAGACGTTTTTCTGTGGTTGGGATTTGTTTTGTTTTTTGTATTTACTACTTAAAAAAAATATATTCAAAATACAGCGATGTTGTTGTTGATGCTTTTTGCAAAAAAATGGAAAATTGATTCTTCTTTAAAGCTAAAGATATTCATTGTATACTGATATCACAACCAAACTTATACGAAATCACTCTGTATTTCTGAATAAACTTTTTGTAGGGAAAAAAATTGGTGTTCAGCTTTATAATAAGGCTTTTTGTTCTAAAAAAACATAATAATAAAGAAGAAACAACTGTTGCGATTTATTATCTTGTGGATTTTTTGTTCAGTAGTAAAATCACGATTCTCCAGTAATTTTATTTCGGTCCAAAAAACGAAAATGCCTTGAGTTGGACTAATAGAAGTGCAGAGGGGAAGAATTATTGCTATCATTGAATAAGGAATGTCCCAAAGAGACGTAGCAGAGGTAGTAGGCGTTACCCAGGGTGTTCGAAAACATATACGAAAACATATGCAAAGGGAAATCTCAAGAACAGACCCAGACTGAGTCATCAAAAAGTCACAACCGAACAACAGGACCGTTTAGTGTTCCAAATTGCTAGAATAAATCCCAGTGTTTCTCATCCATAGCTGCAACGACAACTTCTGGAAGCTACAGGTGTGATCGTTTTAGTTGAAACCATAAAAAAAGTCCTCGCGCTCGAGGGTTGTATAGTAGGAGTTGTGGGTCCCACCGTTATCTAGACAAAATAAAATTGAGTGGCTAAATTGGTGCCTTCACTCCAAAAAATGGACAATTGGGAACTAGCAAAATATTCTTTTTTCGGATGAGACCAGAATTGACCTAAGATCAGATGACCATCGAATTCGGATTCTCAGAGCTCTAGGAAGACGAGCGAGACTCCAAGCTACCAGATCTGTCCCAAGATATTAAGGAGGAACTGTAATGTTCTGGGGAGGTATTGTGCTGGCAGCAAAAACTCCATTATTGCCACTTGAACAAAGTTTAACCGGTAGGAGGTATGTTGATTTAGTTCTAGAACCAATCGTTAGGCATTGGAGAGCTGCAATTCGGGATATTTTTTTTTCATGCACGATAATGCACCTCCCCATATCAGCAGAGTGGCTACAGAATATTTTAAAACGGAAGGTGTCATAGTTTTAGACTGAAATGTATGTTCACCACATCTAAATCCTATTGAACACCTGTGGGACCAGTTTAAAAGAAGGGTTAGAGCTCGTCGAAATAATGCAGGAAATGTCACATAGCTTATTGATGCAGCATTAGCAGAATGGAAAAACATAACCCCAAGACAATGTTGACAATTTAATAAGAAGCATGCCAAGGCGAATAGAAGCTTGCATAAGGGCTAGAGGTGGCAACACAGATTATTAAAATTACCAATTTTCTTTTTGTTCTTGCCTTTTGGCCATTAAAATTTAAATCTCATTTTGTTTCAGAAAGAATACATACCGTTGGGGTTATTTTGTCCACTAATAAAAATTTTTTATTGCTATGTGGGTTATTTTTTATTAAAAGTCTTTGGTAAGGACTGGTTTTATTCGTAACAAAAATGTTCATACATCTCAAAAATTATAAAAAATAATAGATGATTCTGTATAAGTTTGGTTGTGTCTATATTAAAATGTAAAGATAATAATAATTTGCCAGTCAATGAAGATATAGCCTATTTTGAAAATTACAGAAGGTTTTAAACTTTGAGAGAATAGTCGGCTAGTTTAAATAACATTAAATTTAAATTTGCAACCATTGCCAAGGTCCGGAACTATGTAATTCATAGCAAAATGGCGCTTTTGTTTATAACTTAAAAAAAAATATAGGGAAAGTGCTGCAAATATGATTATTTTTTAAAAAATAGCGTTTTTGTTTATAGTATTCATAAAAAAATGCTGAAAACCTATGTGACATAACTCATAAAAGTTTTTTGGAACAGCTATTCCAATTTGCAACCTTCTATTTTTTTGTTAAAAAATGGCAAAACAATTGTTTATTTACCTCTAATTTTGTCAAAAAAATTACAAAAGTTTTAAAAAGTAGTTGCAAATGCTAATATTAGATTTTTTTAACAACCTGGTAAATTTGCAGCCTCTGACAATAATTCGCACTTTTTGCAGCAAATGCAAATTTGCAACGCTCCAAGTTTAACCCAAATAATTGTAAATTGTCTCTGACCAATTTTGCATTGCGAAATTAATGCCAAAGTGTTGCAAATCTAGGACAAATTATAAAAAATATATTCATAAGCGCTATATAATTTGCAAACTTATAACTATTATGCGTAATATTTAAATAATTTATTGTCTTCGTTTATTCGTTTTTTTTATTAATAATTAAATAAACCCTTTAGATAAAAATAATACAGGGTGACACACCGAAAACTTCCCCCCCTGAATATCTTCCTTCCAGTAAATAATATGAAAAATCGCAAAAATCCGTCACTTTTATTTTCAAGGGGGACACATACAATAAATACTTTTAACATTCGTGGCTCGACCTCCTAGGAGGGGTAGATGTTACCCTTAAAATCTTAAGTGGGAATGAAGGTCAAGTGGCACATCATTTTAAAGGGCGTTTAATTCTCTTTCCAATGGTACCCTAATTTATATTATCTTCTGACCAGCAGATTCCGAAAAATTGCATTTCAAAGTTGAAGAAGTTAAAATGGCTTCCTGCACTGAGATTCTCGGTTTTCATGTTAGTATTCAAACAATCATATTGTATTGGGTATCCTTTTAGCAGAAATGGTTAGAAGAGTAGGTGGCACCAAACTTTTACACTTAAAAGTAATCTTATAGTAAAATTTCAATCGCAATTAAACTGCATTTATCAAATGGTGGTTTTTTAATTCTTATCGTTAAAATTCAACAGATAGTCTGGCCTTTTTTGCTATTTATATTTTTTTAAATCTTCAAATAGCGGTTTTTTGTCAAGTAAAATAATTATTTAGCAAATTTTGAACATTTAATATCAGTATTAATTGTTAATCCAGTTTTACTTGTTGAGCTATTCAAATATACCGTAAATAAGTGAATAAACTGCAAAAATGGTTTACTCTCTACAGGAAAGAATCGAAATGATTTTCTTTTATAAAGAGGTTGGAAAATGAAAGAAATCCTAATCGTAATGTAACTCACAGGTATATTCTCGATTTGGTAGCAAAGTTTTTGGAAACTGGTTCGGTGAAAAATAGGAAAAGAAATAACAGACGAGTACTAAATGAAGAAGCTTAAATTGAGGTTTTGGGAACATTTGTTGCAGTGCCAACTAGCTCCATACAAACAGTAGCAGAACAGATGTAAGAAGAGCACTGAAAATGCATAAAATTCATCTCTGTAAAATGCAGACACTTCAAGAGCTCTACAAAGATGATTTTGATAGAAAAATAGAGTTTCGTGGAACCATGTTTGAACAAGTCAACGCCAACCCTAATCTTCTGCTGAATATCTGTTTCAGCTATGAATCTTTATTTTTTCTTAATGGAAATTTGAATAAACAAAATTGTAGGTACTGAAGTGACGAACACCCGCATATTATTCGAGAAGGGCACACACAACATCCGCAAAAAGTTAATGTTTGGTGTAGTATTCTTGGAAATGCAATTATTGGTCCTTTATTTATTGAAGGAAACTTGACAGGCGATCTGTACCTTAATATGCTTAAAGAGACTATTGATTCTCTTATAACTCATGAGCTAGAAAACAAACTGATGCAGGAGGTAATTTAGTTTTACAGGACGATCTGTTACATTTTCAGCAGGACCTACACCTAATTGTTTCTTCTCGTCCGACAGTGGTGAAACGAGAGATTCCCAGACAGTTGGATTGGTAGAAGGAAAGCAATTGAATGGCCCTCAAGATCACCTGATTTAACTCCATTAGACTTTTTCTTTTGGAGACACCTAAAATCCGTTGTTTATGAAACACAACCTACTGATATTGATAATTTTAAAAGACGAAATACAGCAGCATGCCGGTCAATTCCCGGAGAAGTTTTCCGAAATAGAGAGAAGTTCGGAAACAGACTGTATTACTGTTTACAGAACAATGAACTGATGAAAGTATTTTAACCAGATATATAGAAATATCCAAAGAAAATTAAAATTTGATATGACTTTAGCAATAGTATATTACATTACGAGTGTGTAAAATCACTTTTCACACAAGTGATGTACAATGTTTTTCCTACGACCACAAAATAATGTCATCCAAAAAATGTAAAACCAAGGTTATTATTACTATAATAATTAAAATTTATTTAAAAAAATAATCAAGAATAATCGTATTTATTTAATTTTCATATTTTCTAAACAAAAAGATAAAAAAAAAACAAAAAAAAATTCTAGGATTTGAACGCGGTCGAAAAATGGCAAAGTTGATAAGTTCGACGTCCTAACCACCTGAGCTAATAGCCCTTATGTCAATTGAATGATCTAATCGGTTATGCATTTTACCAGAATAAAAATCAAACATTATTTTAAAATTATTTTAATAATAATTGTTAAAGATAAATATCTAGGATCTAATTTACAACAATTTCAATAATTTAACAATCATATCGATTTTAGTATTAATATGGACATTACATAGATCAAACTAGAAATTAGGTGTTTGACATTTTGTGACAACTACTGCGGAAAGTAACATATTCTCACTCGGGTGGAAAGTAAATTCTTATTCATACGCGTGTGATATAGGGCACTTTCCATAGGACTATATAGTGTTATATGTGTCATTTTCCTAAGTGGTCGTAGGAAAAATCTTTATTCGTCAAAATGTGACAATCATAATTTCCAAGTCATAAAGATATAAAAATAAGTGAACTATATAAAATAAAGCAATGTAGATCTCAACATG